GAATAGAAAGGGATGGGGATGGGGATGGGCATGGGCATGGAGATGGATGGGGAAGGACATGGAGATGGATGGAAATGGAAATGGAAATGGAAATGGATGGGAATGGGCATGGAGATGGAGGTGGATGGGGATGGGCATGGAAATGGATGGGGATAGGCATGGGGATGGATGGGATGGGATGGGATGGGATGGGATGGGATAGGATGGGATAGGATGGGATGGGATGGGATGGGATGGGATGGGATGGGATGGGGATGAGGGGGAGGAGCATGGAGATGGATGGGGATGGATGAGGATGGGCATGGGCATGGGCATGGAGGTGGATAGGGATGGAGATGGATTGGATAGGCATGGAGATGGATGGGGATGGAATAGTGGGGCATGGGGATAGGCATGGGGATGGATGGAGATGGGCATGGAGATGGATTGGATGGAGATGAGGATGGGGATGGATGGGGATGGATGGGGATGGGCATGGTCACCCCAGGACCTTTCCCAGCAGCCCTGATGGAGGACCCATCCCTGCCACCCTCAGGTGCAGCACCTGGTGAGCCGCTGTACCTGCCCTGTGCAGTTCCCCATGATCAAGATCTCTGAAGGGAAATACCGAGTGGGGGACTCTGACAGCCTCATCTTTGTGCGGGTGAGTCTGCTCCATCCCTGCTCCTGGGGGAAAACATCAGGAATTCTGCTCTGCCATGACCCCCTTTCCACAATCCCCCAAAAAGATCTGTGTGGGAGTTTTGATCACTATTCCCAAAGCAGGGGAGCTCAGCCCTGTCACAGATGTTGGTATGGATTTAACCACCCATGTGTGTGGGACAAACCCTGACACCCCCACAGAGCCACAGCCTGCTCCCACCCAGCTATGGGAGCACTGGGATGCTCTGAATCCATCCCCAAGCATGGCCAAAGAACTCAGCACACCACGAAGGACAGGGATTTTCCAAAAGGATTCCTCACCCTCCTTGTGGTGACAAAATAAACCTGTCAGGATGGCTGCAGGAGCTGAGCCAGGGGC